ATGGGTGCCAAACACCCACTTAGGCAATAGGGTGACTACCTTTTCAGAATCTCATTAAATGCGTCTAAGCTTACGTTCGATGAGGAAACACTTATGATAAGGCGATTCAACCGTTCAAATGAAACCACGTGTTAATTCATCCAAAGGTAACTACTTCGTCTCTTCCACTATAAAAACTCACATGTAGCACCATTCGAAGATAATACAATTTTACATACTCTAAGTAACATTGCTCTCTCATTTTACTCTCTATAGAACATCGATACTCTTAACACTCTCGTGGCTCATGTCTTGAGCACATCCTGCACCCAAATATATTATACAAGTTGACCGTCAGAGTGTACGTGATCGCCTCCTCTATCTTCGGAAAAGGTCATGTGCTACTAACAATTTGTCTAAGTTTGCAGGAGCTTAGCTACGTAAACATGAGCGAAGTAGCAATCTGTTGGTCACATCACTCATGCAGAAATCAAGGTCAACAATAAATATAATTCTACCTTTAATTGAGACTATTATATAATGCCACATAAATTGGTGTTTTAACATTTATGGTGCTAGATAGCAATATTTTATGACTTATGATCTTCTAGAAATAACTATCTAAACAACTAAACTTAGCTGCTTTCTTTTCGTGAAATAAATAGGCTGTCAGATAAACATGAATGTCTCCATAGCATTGATTGTTCTTTAATGACTCACCTACTTTTTATTCCCCGTTTGGTTCTGATTAAAATGAGATTATTATGAGTTTGATACTGAAATTGAGAATTTAAATAAATGCAATTAGCTTGACCACACATCATTCACGCCTCGCTTAAATACCATTTCTACCCTTGGCTCGTGTTGCGTAATGACCATTTTACCTTGCCAATGTGTTTTGACCAATTAATGAGCTTAGAAAATTGAGCGTACATGTCCTTCGAGTCCTAATGACTAACAACATTAATAAAAATAAGATTCTGAATAAAATTTTTTAGGAGAATGTGTGATTAAAAAGTAGAAAGTAAATTTGGATTTACATTCAGAATATTTTATTGTGTGATTGAAAATGAGTACGTAAAAAAAAAAAAAAATCAAATAATGGTTATCAAATATGACCTAAAATGATAAAGCGTACCCCCACCCGACCCCACCCGACACCCCCTTTTTTGTCTTCAAAAAATCGATTTTTACAGGTTAATATGTTTCGTAAATCTTTCATGTTTGATCGTGTTAATATGATTTTCAAATTTACATTTTATCTAATCAAACTTGCTTTTCTAGGAAGTAAAACTTATTTTAAAATAACTTTTAAGTACAAATTATGCTTTAAAAGTGTCGTGTATGAAAAGTCTATGACACACATGATCTTTTCTAAATTATACCTTGCCGTCCACGAGACTCTTATTATATATTATTAGCCATCTAAATTTTGTTTCCTATTCAACCAACCAATATATATATATATATATATCATTTTCTCCATCTTAATCGAATAATCAAATTGTCAACATAAGAACTAGTAAAAAAAAAAAAATTATTTGGCTTTTACTCAATTGTCAAAGATTCGTTACAACTTAACAATCAATCATTTCAATTAAGATTTTGGGGTGTGAATCGAGATTATGATGTGTATGATCTCTATTGATCCAAGTGGCTTCCACTAGCTTTGTTTCTCATAATTTTAAAATATTTTCTTTCTTTAAATAATTGAGGGAGACTTACAATGTTCTTTCCCCACTTATGATTTGTGTACTAAGTTAGTCCTTAACTTTCATTTGAGATATTCTAATTCTCAACTTTTAGTTTTTTTTTGAAAATATTTTTTAACCTTATTTTAATTAAAATAGAAATTTATAAGAAAATAAATCAATGGAAAAAGAGAAGAAACGGAAACTAGGGGGCGAGGGATACGGCAAGAGCTGCAAGAGAGAGTGGAAATGGCTAAAATGGATTAAACGATTTTCATATAAATGTAGTGCGACAAAATTAAAAGTCGTGGATAAAATTTCTAAATGGAGAGTTCCAATACAATTCTCCCCAAGCTAAAAGGTCTTAGCTCAATAAGTCAATATGTACGGAAAGAAAAAAAGAAGGGAACTCGTAGAGTAACTTCCTATTGTCCATATCATCTATAAACTTGCTTCAATCCCCCCTACCCCCACGCGTACCCTTCTCCTTGATACCAAATGAAGCATTTCCCTGGACCCTGCTACCATTTCTTGAACTAAAATCCCATCATTTCATTTGTTTGTTTTGATGGATTTCAAATTTTCTTGAGATATTGCATAGGATTTCTTGCTCCATACTCAAAAGATTAAAGGATAGATAGCCAGACTACAACGAGAGTTTCGCATTTTGAAGGGCGAGTCGAAACCATGGTAGAAGAAGAAAGGCCTGATTTGATCAGCAACTTACCAGAAGAAGTTCTGCAGCTGATTATTTCAATGATCCCATTCAAGGAGGCAATTCAGAAAATCATTCTTTCAACTGCGTGGAGGAGCCTAGTGAATCCATTTCAAGTAAACTTAGAATATGATTGGATTCAATCAACTAATATTGAATCCAGGGAGAAAATGAAGAAATCAATTGGATCATTCTTGAAATCTTGTGATAATAGTCCTCAGACATCGAAACTCTATCTTCAGTCTACAGAGGGAAATGATCATAAACACTTTGGTATTTGTGCTAAAGGATCACATGGGGAATTTCTTCTTGATTTCCCAGTGCAAAAAAAGGAAGTTCCATTTAACTTTGATCTGATTCTTGAACCGGAGTGTTCGAGTTTTTCTTCTATCAGAAGACTGTATCTTAGATCTGTCTCCCATTTTGTGGGAAACCTTGTCGTTGATTTGTTCGCAGGTTTTCAATTTCTCGAAACCTTGAATCTCGAAAAATGTGTAGGATTGCAGAACATCGACATCAGATCACATGACTATCTTAAGAAGTTGGTTATAGTTGATTGTCCTAACATAATCAGCATTACACTTTCTGCACCAAATCTTGAATCCTTCTCATATCAGGGAGTTCTTTCGACTATTCAGCTGAATTACATTCAACATTTGGTCGATTTTACACTAAATCTGAGGGATGGTTTAGGCCATAACAACTTTGATTCTGAGGATGTTATATCTCTTATCTCCTCTCTTAGAGATGTTGAAATTCTTACCATAAGTGGTTGGTTCATTGAGGTACCTATTTTGAAAATTTTACGACTTTTTTTGATTAATCAGATTATTTCATGCCTCAAAATGTCTCTTAACACAGTTTCTTTTGAAGTTATTGTGTTCTGCAGGAGTGATATTTGAAAGGCTAGGTTTCCTGTTTGACAAGCTTAAGGAATTACACATTATTGATCCAAAAATAAGCCAAAAAACGCTCAATTCATTCGCTTGTTTCTTGAACATCACACCTTTCTTGGAAAAGCTTTTTGCGGAAGTAAGTTTTTTTTTTCCCCCTCAATTACAGAATTCACACTCATGTCATTGTCAATGCTGCAAATTTAAGCTTGGGAACTCATTTTTCTAGTTTCTTTTACTCAAAAAATAAGCAGGTCGATGAGAGTTCCAGCCCAGTCGAGTGTCCATTCATTCACCAGTATTGGCATGAGCCTCATTTATGGATGGATTATGCAACTGTGAAAAGTACAGCTTCTCAACTCAAGTACTTAAAGTTCATCAAACTTACCGGATTCAAAAGCGAATCAGATCTTATTTTGTTAATGGATCTTCTGCTTCATAAGGCTGTTAATCTCAAGCAGATGATTCTTATCTCATCAGAGAGGGATTCATGGATGGTTGCAAGAATTCCTCAGAGTCAACTAAAATTCTACAGCAAAAGGAGATGTACTGTGATTTCCTGTCCAAATACTGATGTGTCGATTGTACTAATAGATGCCAGAGATGAGGCTTAGAAACTGAAAGTGTATCAATGTATGCAGAATTGAAGAGCACTCGACAATATAACTCTTTTTTTTTCCTCCTATTCCGCCGTCCGGACTAAATATGGAAATTCGTCCAATGCTTATGACATTGACCTCAGTAAATACCCACTAACCCCCATAGTTTTAACATTCCTTTTATTCTTGAGCAATGCTATTTATCTAAATAATCGAGTCGCATATTCATAAATTTTAATTGCCTTCATCTTTTCATTGCACAAGACATGTCAAGATGAGAAACATTATTCTTTTACTATTTGTTTGATACTTTGTCTAGTGTATATGGGGAGATGTATTTTAAAAAAAAAAAAATTTGGGTTATTTTCATGGGAAAATCGAAATAGCGGTTTCTAACCTTTTCAATTTTTTTAGACTTTATTCTAACCTTCAATTTGTGCCAGCAAAGGCCCCTAACCTTTCGTAAATATGTAGTTGAGGTTCAAATGGATGAAAACCTTCCATTTGACCAATATTTTGCAAAAAAAAATGATATTTTGATCATTTTAAATAGGGACATTTTCGTCAATTTCGTGACAACATTATATTCTGCAATATAAATGTAATTATATAATAATGGATAATTAAATCAAAACCCCACCTCACCCCAACCCAACCCAACCCAACCCAAAACCAAACCTAGAAAACTCACCACCGCCAACCGATCAATCAACCACAGCCACTTATCTCGCTATAAACCGTAAATCGCTAACCAAGTAAATCTTAAATTGTCGTAGCCACCACCACCACCACCAAACCAAAACCTGATTCATCAAACTATCAAGCCTAACTTTTCCATTGAGAAGAGGAAGAACCTAAAACACGACAAAAAGAAAAACCATCTACCATCAAAATTAGAAAACATTTGAAAACCGAGTACTATAAAGGACCGTCGAACATCTATAGAAAAACCAAGAAAAGATTTGATAAAACATCACAGAAGATCAAAATCAACACAAGTCGGCGGCCACGCAATCCAGAAAAACCACTGGCCACCTAATTCGTCGGAATTTCTTCCCTAGCCAACAACCTCAATGCACAAATCGCCACAGTCACACCCATGGTCGCGCCTCACTACCGGTAGTCTCGCCAACTCTAGGCGAGTATATTCGTGGTGGAACAACATCAAATCTAAAGATAGAGATGGATTGGGTTTTTCGGTTTTCGAAATGTTTAATGATGGGTTGGGTTTTCAGAGAATTTGATGGATGCTTGGGATGGGGAAATCGACGGCCAGAGGTGGTGAGTTTTTTGGGTTCGAGTTTGGGGTGGGGTGAGGTGAGGTGAGGGGAAGAAGATAACCTCTTGCTTTGATTTTTTTTATTATTATTTATATTGCAAAATATAATTGTGTCAGAATTAATGAAAATGTCACTACTTAAAATGAGCAAAATATCAATTTTTTGCAAAATATTGGTCAACTAACGGTCAAACGAATCCTTCCATTTGGATCTCAACTGCGTATTTATGAAAGGTTGAACTTTCGCTACCACAAATTACAAATTACGGATAAAGTTTACAAAAAATGAAAATGTTATGGACCATTACTGCAATTTTCCCTATTTCCATCAACTTACCGTTGACTAAATCAATGATGACTTTTTTTATAGATGTGTATTTAGCAAGAAAACAAAGCATATTTTGTCCCACAAAAACATCAACTTCAAAAATGTCCCACTTGAATTAATTATTTAGCTATACTTTTAATAAGGGAAGTGATCTATAATTCTGAAAAAATAAAAATAGAAATTTAGCATCTCTTTATGGTATTGATGGAGAAGCATTTCTACTCATGCTTTAGGGGAATCATGGGGAAACCTCGTATCACTATGTGTAACAAAAGTTGACTTTCTTTTGTAACTAGTGACCTACTTTCTTTATATTGAAAAATGTAAATTTTAAATTACTTCTAAGCAAAATAAAAAAAATTTACTTCGTTATTTACAAGACAGGATGAGTAACACCCGACAAAATTGTGGCATTTATTTTATTTATGTTCATACGAAAATACCAACTATGTAACATAAAACTCAAGTTCTCATTGTTGTACATTTCCCAAAAAAAAAAAAATGCGTCACCTTCAAACTCCATTTATTTGAAATTTGTATCACCTACCAACTCTAATTATTTTATTTGAAATTTGATCGGTTGTTTGCTCGATAGTCAATCGGTACACATCAACTCTAATTATTTTATTTGAAATTTGATCGGTTGTTTTTATTTGAAATTTGATCGATTGTTTGCTCGATAGTCAATCCGTACATAACTTTATTTATTCTCTCTATTTTCAAAATTTAATCCAAAACATTGAGTGGATGAGAAGGCCATTGATTATTCATTTGGACCTTACTCGCAGCATCAAGTCAATTGTCTACGCTTTACCAATTCAATATTATTACCTAAAGAGGAAATTTCACAAAATGTCCACTTTTTTGTGTCCATTTGCAGAAATGTCCGCCATTGCAAAAATATCCATTTTGAAATAATTTAGACCAAAATATCCTTGTTAATAATTTATAATTCCACATAAAAACAAAAATGTCCACTTTATTAAAAAATTTATTGGCCAATAAAAATTTGACACATAACCCTAACTTATTTATTTCAAAAGTACAATTTTCAAATCATAATAAATGCAATTTTTCTAATTGACACAGCAATGCCGAGAATAACATTTCAAATGTAGAGNAAATTTGTAAAAAATTGGAAAAAAATCAAATTGCTTCATTTTTTCATTAAGAGCATAATAGGTAATTTAATACAAAATTCAAAATGTTGGACATTTTTCAATTGACATTCAAAAAAGTGGACATTTTTTAAAATGCCTCTTACCTAAAATGTTTGAAACGTTTTCTTTGGGGACATTTGAGAATGAACATGAACCGTTCTAACCGGATTAGACGTGCAGCAGTAGCCTAATTAATATTGGCCCATCAACAAAACAGGCCCAACACAAGAAGATAAGAAGCCCACTTCTATAAAATATAACTTCTCCAAAATCCAAATCCAAAAACAACAATTTACACGAGAAAGTAGACTAGAAACTGAGAAAGGAAAAGTTGCACAAGGCCTATTTCTCCATAGAAAAAGAAGCTAAAATCCATCAGGTCTTGTCTCTGTCTTAGAAGTGTCAATCCGGGTGGTC